AAAGAGGGGGGAAAAGAGGGGGGAAAAGAGGAAAAGAGGGGGAAAACAGGAAAAGAGGGGGGAGAAGAGGGGGGGAAACAGGAAAAGAGGGGGAAACAGGAAAAGAGGGGGGGAAACAGGAAAAGAGGGGGGGAAACAGGGGAAAAGAGGGGGGAAACAGGGGAAAAGAGGGGGTTAAAGGAAACATGTGGATGGAATAGGAACAGGAGCAAGCTGTATCCCACAGTCTCCCCTTCTCCCTTCCCGAGGGAACAAAGGGACGCTGATCCCGGCTCCCGTTACCCTGCTGCCCCCAGGAGCAGAGAGGTGTCCCCCGTGTGCCAGGGGATGGCCTGGCAGGAGCATTCCCAGCGGGAATTCCCGAGGAGCCCCGTCCCTCTCACCTTTTTGCTCTCCTCCATCTCGTGCTCGAACATGGCGCTGAAGACCGGGGAGCGCGCTGGGGACACACACACACACACACACAGGGATCCTTGGCAAGGCTGATCCTCGGCAAGGGCTGGCTGCTGCTGCCAGCGCCTCCCAACACCTCTGCCCCGGGAATGGAGCTCCCACACAAACCCTGGCTGGCCCTGGCAGTGCCCCAGGCCCGGCTGGACAGGGCTGGGAGCGGCCTGGGACAGGGGGAGCTGTCCCTGGGTGGGATTCAATCCCTTCCCAACCTCTCCAGGATTCCATGAATTGGACAGTTAAAGGGGATTTTCTGGAACATTCTGGATGGGCTGGTCCATAGGCAGGAGCTGCACTTGGTACTGGGGACAAGGGATGGAGGGACAGGATGCAGGGAATGGCTCCCAGTGCCAGAGGGCAGGGATGGACGGGATATTGGGAAGGAATTGTTCCCTGGGAGGGTGGAGAGGGCTGGGATGGGATTCCCAGAGGAGCTGTGCAAGTGAAAGTGAGCTGGCTGGGGCTTAGAGCAGCCTGGGACTGTGCAAGGTGTCCCTGCCATGGACGAGCTCTGAGCTCCCTCCATCCCAAACCATTTCCCACATCCCAAACCATTCCCCACATCCCAAACCACTTCCCACATCCCAAACCATTTCCCACATCCCAAACCATTCCATCCATCCCAAACCATTTCCCACATCCCAAACCATTTCCCACATCCCAAACCATTCCATCCATCCCAAACCACTTCCCACATCCCAAACCATTCCCTCCATTCCATCCATCCCAAACCATTTCCCACATCCCAAACCATTTTCCACATCCCAAACCATCCCCTCCATCCCAAACCATTCCATCCATCCCAAACCATCCCCTCCATCCCAAACCATTTCCCACATCCCAAACCATTCCATCCATCCCAAACCATCCCCTCCATCCCAAACCATTTCCCACATCCCAAACCACTTCCCACATCCCAAACCATCTCCTCCATCCCAAACCATCCCCTCCATCCCAAACCATTTCATCCATCCCAAACCATCCCCTCCATCCCAAACCATTCCCCCCCATTCCTTCCATCCCAAACCATTTCCCACATCCCAAACCATCCCCTCCATCCCAAACCATTCCATCCATCCCAAACCATCCCCTCCATCCCAAACCATTTCCCACATCCCAAACCATTTCCCACATCCCAAACCATTCCCTCCATCCCAAACCATTTTCCACATCCCAAACCATCCCATCCATCCCAAACCATTCCCCTCCATTCCTTCCATCCCAAACCATTCCCCTCCATCCCAAACCATCCCTTCCATCCCAAACCATTCCTTCCATCCCAAACCATTTCCCACATCCCAAACCATCCCTTCCATCCCAAACCATCCCCCCCCACCCACCTGCCAGGATGGCTTTGTGGCCCTTGAACTCCTGGCCGGCCACGCAGAGGCAGCAGTCGGTGAAGCGCGAGTTCTCCCAGAGCCCGCCCAGCTCGTCGGCCAGGCGGCACTCGGGCACCTTCACCATGTTCATGGTGTTCTGCCCCGAGATGTTCACCGAGTCCTGCACCACGCTCACCTGGGGACAGCCACACTCACACCCTCGCCAGGGACCCCCAGCACCGTCCCAGGGCCCGGAGCCCGCCCGCACGGCTCGGCCCCGCGCCCGGGCAAACCCATCACAGGGTGTCTGCGGGAAGTGGAACTGGATTTTTGCTCTTTCCTGGTTTTTTCCAGACACCACACCTGACCCAGTTTCTCCTTGTGAAACCTCCCCAATCAATAATGCAGCGGCCACCGGGGGGAAGGAGGGACACACCGAGCTCCCGGAGCCGGCGCAGACCCCACGGGAGCAGGCTCTGACCCCTCGGTGCCCTCCTGCTTCTCCTCCCAGCAGAGTTCAACACCAAAACAAACCAAACCCCGCTCCAGGCCGAGCCAAACAAACCCCAGTCACACAGCCAGCGGGGCTGGGGGAGGCACATTCCCAATCCCTGCTCCAGAGCTCAGCAATCTCCTGCAGAAGGGGCTCGTTAGGAGCCTGGCGCTTAAAACCCGGGTAAATTACAGCTGAGGCCAATTAGCAAAGCTCAGTGATTAATTGTGCCCTGCTGCAATCAGGAGTGATGGAGGGGACTGGCAGGGAAGCAGAGGATTCCCTGGATTTGCTGTCCAGCCCGAGGGAAATCCCAGTTCTGCTGGTGGCCATGGGACAGCAAGGACAGCTCCACAGGGAAAGGAGAAGGGAAGCAGGAAGCGAGAGAAGGGGAAAAGGAAACAAGGAAAGGAAGAAGATCCCAGCCTTGGATGCCAAAGTAGACAAGGATTTGCTCCTGCCATGCCAGATTCTCCTTTCTCCTCCCATTTTGTGTTCTCCCTCCGTCCCCAGGAATTTCTGCTGCTGCTTAAACATCCTTGAGATGTTTGTTCATTTAAATACGTGCATGATTATGATGGCCAAAACCTGCCAAAAAAAAAAAAAAAAACCACCCCAAAAACAAACCAAAAACCCCCCAAACATTCCAGCTGTCAAAGCACTTTGAAGCACTTCTTTTATTCCTGGAAGAAAACACAGCAAAAGAAAAAGACTCCCAGGAAAAAAAAAAAAACAGTGCAGGAGATGCAAGGAGAGAACAACTTGTTCTGCTCTCTTCTGGCAAAAAAAAAATCAGCTCCAGGAGGGCTTTGCAGTTAAAAAGACAATGGGAGTGAGGCAGGAGAAGCTCTGAAGACACTAAATTAGAGTTTCTATTTGCTCATTAAGGTTTTTCAACTTAAATCTCTGGGTTTGGAAATAACTGGCTGCATCTTGGCCTGGAATAGCACAAGTGAAATTATAATGATGTTGTAGGAAAACACAAACACAGCGAGCAGAGGATGGTGGTTACACTAAAATCCCCTTTCTCACATTTTTCTCTTTGCTGGCTGTGCAGAGCCACTGAAGGAAATAAAGAGAAGCTCTCCTTTATCAAGCAGGGTGCTTCCCAGAGCAGATCCGGGCTGGGATCATCCCAAGAGAGCCCCAAACCAAGCAGCACAAACAGAGGGAACACGGAAACAGCAGGAAATGATCCCCAAAGCTGCCCAGTTGCCATCAGCACTGCAGGGAAAAGCCCAGCAGGAAGCAGGCAGGGAGGGATGGATCAGGCAGGGGGAGAGGCACCCCCGGAGCAGCGGGAGGAGGGAAGGGCCAGCCCAGGGAGGCTGTTTGGGGCTGGAGCAGGGCTCACCTCGCAGAACAGGGTCAGTTTGTCGTCTGGCAGCAGCCCGTTGGCCTCGTCCAGCAGGAAATCTCTCCTGATGAACTTCTTGAAGCCCCAGTCCTTGCCTTGCACGAAGCGATAGGCGCGCTGGCTCTCTGCGGGATAGGCCCGGCTTAGCACAAAGCCTGGCCCAGCTCATCCCAGGGGGGTTCTCACACTCGGGGGGCGTCTCTCTTACCCCAGAGAGGGGTCTCACTCACCCCAGGGGGGTCTCACTCACCTCAGGGGGGTCTCACTCACTCCAGAGGGGTCTCTCTCACCCCACAGAGGGGTCTCACTCACCCCAGAGGGGTCTCACTCACCCCACAGAGGGGTCTCTCTCACCCCAGGGGGGTCTCACTCACCCCAGAGGGGTCTCACCTCAGGAGGGTTTCACCTCAGGGGGGTTTCACCCACCCAGAGGGGTCTCTCTTACCCCACAGAGGGGTCTCACTCACCCCACAGAGGGGTCTCACTCACCCCACAGAGGTTTCCCTCACCCCACAGAGATGTTTCCCACTCACCCATGGCCTTGGTCTCCTCTCCCTTGGCGTTGAGGATGGAGAACTTGAACTTGGCCCTGACCTCGCTCTTGGGGCAGCTGACCAGCAGCAGGTACAGCGACAGGTAATCCTTGCTCTCCTCGTCCAGGCCCTTGGGGTTGACCCGTAAACACCTGGAAAAGCGGGGTTGGGAAGGTGGGCAGCTCAGGGATGCCTCCAAAGGAAGGGCACGGGGGATTTCCACAGCTGCACAGCCCCAGGGGAGCACAGCGGGGTGAAAGGAGCAGAGCTGGGGAACAGCTCAACCCCCACGCTGGGAAAAACACCCAGGAACGATGGGCACCCCAAAAAAACCCCTGGGAATAGAGCAGGGAGAGGGGCTGGAACCGCTGAGAAGGCCCCTGGACAGTGATCCTCACAAAAGGAAAGTGAAATAAATGAAATGGGGATTGAGGAAGTGCAACAAATGCAGGGAAATGGTTGATAAAATTCCACAGGAGGCAACGGCGAGGAACAAGGGATCTCTGGAAGGCTGGTGGCTCTCAAAAAAAAAAAAAATAAAAAATACCAGGGTTAAAAGGAAAAACTCCTCCTGTGTGAAGAAAAGGCAGGAAGAAGCTCTTCCATGACCTGAAACTCGACACAGCATCCAGCAAGAACAAAAAGCAGACAGATAATGAACAGCTCCCACACACGGGGACCAAACCCCCAGCTCCAGATGTTCCAGGGAGGGCTGAGGGGACAAAGGTGGCAGCAACAAAGGCAAGCACGGCTCTGCCACCCAAAGGAGAGAGCTCACGCTGTATCCCGTGGATACAGCTCATCCAGGGGCTGCTTCCACACCGTCTGCACTGCAAAGGGAAATCCTGCATGCTCCAGGGTTGAACCAGGAACCAGAGCCCGTGGATGCACCAGGACACGGCCCAGAGCAAAGTCCACTCTGAGCTACTGGAAATGACTGCGGGCTCAGGGGAGATAAGGGAGGTTTAGGGGAAAGGGAAAGGCCCCAGATGAGGTCGGCACAAAGAGGCAGCAGCCCCAGGCAGGAGCAGGGAGAGGACACTGGCACTCCCCTCATCCCTGTGTTCTCCGTGGCCACTCACAGACAGGGAATTCACAGCAGGAAAAATTCACTTTTGAAGCTCGTGGAGCACGAGGGGCTGGAGCTGGGAGGGTGAAATGGGCTGTGCAGCCCCCCAGCCTCACCTGGGCTCGTCCCAGCAGCCAGTTTGGAATGGAAAAGTGGTTTGTGTGCAAACACTGCTGGGGTGTCGGGGCTCTCCTGGCGGGAGGATGAGGCTTCCATGGATTCCCGCTGTCCCCAGAGCCCACCCCAGCCAGGACAAAGCCTCTCCCTGTCCCCAAAGCCCACCGCAGCCAGGACAAAGCCTCTCCCTGTCCCCAGAGCCCACCCCAGCCAGGACAAAGCCTCTCCCTGCCTCTCACCACTTGAGCTTGTCGTTGGCTCCGGAGGAAAAGGTCGAGCTCTTGATGACCTCCCCCATCTCCTCCCGGCAGAAGCTGAAGTTGTTGATGGTCCACATGTAGGAGAACTTCACCACCTTGATCTGGGGGAGAGAGCACGAGCTTCAGGCCCAGCCCTGCACAGCCCAGGGGGGCACTGGGGGATCCAGAGGGGGCACTGGGGGATCCAGAGGGGGCACTGGGGGCTCCAGGGGGACACTGGGGGATCCAGAGGGGGGCACTGGGGGATCCAGAGGGGGGCACTGGGGGAT